TGGGGGCTAATGGCTATTTGATCTACGTCTGTTCCAAGGACAGTTTTCTATTGAAGCCCCGATTTAATTATGCTAAGTTAAACCGGCCCTTGGGGGCTATGCTGATCGATTTCAAAAGTGTTAAGGAACATATTCAAGTCCCGATTTGATCAAGGTTACAAACCGGCCCTTGGGGGCTAGGAGGATTGATACAATGGTAGTAAGTAAAGAAGTGGGTTACCTCAAATTTATCCCTCATCATCTTGACCAGGCCAGCTTCACAGTCACGGCTAGTATAAAGCCGGTTTAAATAACCGGAATGAAGGTCTTGGGCACTGAGAGCAGCATATGTCTCCAGTTCAACATCCCATTTCCCTTTATTCAAAGCGGAAAAATCCTCTTTCACGGTATGTCTGGTTAAGGTGGCAGGATTCCCCGGCTCAAAGCGGCCCACACCAGTAATCACAACGTCATCATCTTTTGACTCGATGGTTTGCGTGGGCGCGGCTGTTTTGTCAGCAGGACTGTGGGTTTTCTCAATCCGGACGGAGCTGGCAGGCGGATCGGCAGAGATTGAAGTGTTAACGGGCCTCTCTTCGGGAATAGCATCGTCTTGTAACGGAGGATCATTGGGAATATCTTCAGAGGCAAATTCTTCAAGATCTGGCGCTTTCTCATGATCTGGGGCGACATCTTCTTCAGCCGCTTTATCCAAACGGGCCTTCTTGCCTGGTTTCGGTTTGGCCCTGAAAGAAAAACAAAGAGTCAGTGAAAAGCATAAGCCATTACACAATATGATGAAAGCATATGTTCGGTTTAGCTTACCCAGCAACTATTTTCAATGGTGGTAGCTGAGTGGCCGACGATACACCAGAAGATGAATGAGAAGTGACCTGATAATTGGAGTGGGATGGATTAATAGGTTGACGGAAGAAACCCGCTTTAGGATTTAAATCAAGAAAAAGGTCAGAGACCTCGGAGCGGCGTTTTCGAACCGGGCTGTTTGGTAAACCGGCAGAGGTAACTACCTGGCCACTGTGCCGGGTTGTGCGGCGAGCTTCTTGTTGCTGCATCTTCATAAGAAATTCGGGATCCAAATAAGCAAGAGGATGAGAAAATTTAACTTTCCGGTTTGCCTGGCGAAATTTTGGCAAAGGCAAGTTTTCTGAATCGGAAGAAAGAATAGTTACCTCAGCGAATCCTGCATTGCTGGCCTCAGCGTCGTCCTGACAAGCATCATCATCAATAAGGTGTGTAAAAAGTAAGCCAAGTGAATCAAGTTCTACCTCAAGATCCGGATTACCCACATCATCATCAATAGCTGGATCAGATGAAGCAGTGGTTTTTCTCTTGTGAGCTGGTTTCTTAATAACCTTGGTCTTGGGCCGGGTTGGCCGCCCTGCCTTCTCCGTTTTATCTTGTGAAAGTTTCTTGCTCCAAAATGGATTATCACCCTGGATCAGAAGCAATTAAATGTCAGACAGATAAAGCAGTAACAGGTTTAATGATGGGGCAACTAAAGTCTTACCGCTGGCGGTTTGTTGGTGGTGCAGTAAGGAGGCAGACCGCTTTGAGCACAGAGGTGCTCCGGTTCATTTAACATCTTCTTTACAGAATCTGTGACTTCATCATCGGAGAGTTGGATTTTCGTGTGTCGGAGTGGGTCGTCGACACTATCAGTATACTTGCACATCAAACCGGAGCGCCGGCTCAGAGGCAGTATGCTCCATGATATCCAACAATGTGCAAGGTCTATTCCCGTTAAACCGTTGGCAATAAAGGCTCGAAGCTTGGATAGTTGCGGAGCATATTTGCTTCTTTCCTTGGCACTCAGTCTTTGTAGAAAAGGGTGAGTGTTGCTCAGCCGTTCTGGACGGAAGCCAGGCAAGGGATTTTCATCCTCAGGAGAAGTATCTTTGCAATAAAACCAAGTTGCGTTCCATTCCTTGGGATGAGTATGGAGTTTGACGTGGGGATAAGTGATCTCCTTCCTCTTCTGAATAGCCATGCCACCCAATTCAGTATTGGGACCGTCGGTGAATTCAGTGCGACGGTTTAAATGAAAGAGGTCTCTAAACAACTCAACAGAAGGTTCCTCTTGAAGATATACTTCAGATAGTACTTGAAAGTGGCATAGATTGGTGACGGAGTTGGGGCCAATATCCTGTGGACGGAGCTGAAAATTGGCTAACACATCCCGGTAAAATTTAGAACCGGGCGGTTTGAAGCCCCGGGCCAGGTGATCTGTGAAGACCACAACCTCTCCTTCCTGGGGTGTAGGAGGACATTCCTCTCCAGGAACCCTCCAGTGGATCGTGTCTTTATTGTCTAAAGCGCCGATCGAGACTAGGTCATCCAACTGTGATTCTGTGACGCGAGAAGGAACCCAATTGCATTCATACACTTGTTTGGCCATGGCGAGATCTACAAGAAATAGGTGATCCGGTTCAAGAACATGCTGGATAAAAGAAGGCGTTGATCTAAACTACGATAAACCAGAGGCAGTATCTATAAACCGGTTTTCTGCAATGCGGTATCATGTGGATTCTAGCGGTTCAACCAGGGGACTAATGATATATACCGGTTTAGCAATTCTTCTATGGTAAGTTAAACCGCCTGACCTAAGCATTGGAAGCGATTGAAGCTATGGATAACTAGGTATGCAGAAACAAGTTTCGCAAGATCTTATTACAACCGCGGATCAAACGCGAGCTCGCAAAAAACAGAAAATATTTCGAAGAGTAAGGCAGAAACAGAAGTGAACTATGGAGCAGATATGTGCGGGAGATCTATGGGCTTAGATGAGAAACTACAGCGGATGCATAGAGATCACTACTAAATGCAGCACAAGTTCATGGATTCATTTAAGGTCAGAGAACAGATATGAACGCGCGAAGAACACAGCATGAACATGGAACCCTAAGAACAGATCTAGGTCAAAAAGAGGAGAAAGCTTACCAGGAATGGAGAAGACGCGGAAAGATGCCGCAATGCTCTGGTACGTTCAGGTCGATGCAGCGGCCCAAGACGAGGCAGAGGTCGACGGTGGTGGCGGAGCTCCAAGACTAGCGACGCGAGGAAGACGAAGAAGGGACGAAGGGAAAGGAAAGAAATGACCCTTTGGTCCTATTTATAAGGCAACAGAGCTAGGTCAAACGCGCGGATCCAGGAGCTGTTGTTAAAAGAGGGCGTTATAAATGATAAAATTTCAGGATGACGTCATGCCGGTTTACAACAACCAGAAATGATGATGACACGGCGATTTACCAATTACTAGAAGATGCCCAAGATGCAAGATTTTGTGAAGGATTGACATGAACCAGTTCAAATCAATCTACGGCCTAATGTTGGGGATATTACCACTAGGCGTAAACCGTCCTGCCTGGGCCGGGTTAACTTCATTAGTGGTATAAGCAGATAAAGGCCCAAGGCCTGTAGACGGTTTAGAGCCTGTAGCCGTAAACCGGCCTGATGTATATCTTGTATTGTAAGTTAGGAATAGAGAGATACCAACCGGGATCCGAGTATGAACCGGTTGGGACTCTACGAACCGACGGGCGTCACCCGTGTATATAAGGGGACGACCCGGCGGCGGTTCAGGGACAGACAACCACAACTCGAGCCTAGGCGAAGCTTGTTTGCTCCCTAGCCATCGAGACCACATCAATTCCATCACAACTAGACGTAGGCTTTTACCTTCATCGAAGGGGCCGAACTAGTATAAAACCCTCATGTCTTTGTGCCCGCTTTAACCCCTTCAAGTAAACTCATAGCGATGGCTCCACGACTAAGTCCTTTCACCAGGACATCTGCCGTGACAAATCCACGACAGAACCTGTTGTGGATCCTTTGCTTGCTTGATTAACAATCAGCCAAAAATGTCACCTCAATGAGTTCAGAGCTACCTTCTTGGTTATAACAAGGTCTTCTGGGAGCTCATCTGGCAGTTCACCTTCAACTTGATATCCCTTGGGGGTGCACCTGGCATCTGGTCCAGCAACCTCCCAGTGATCACAATCCAATTTTATGCTATCCAACACCGGGACACCCTCCAGCAGCTTCAGCTTTGGGCAATCATAGATGTTGATAGTCCGCAGCTTGGTGAGACCGCTGATCCTCTTGAGCTCAGGGCAGTAGTACACATTGAGCTCCACAACCGAAGGGAAATTCTCCACATATTCTAGGAGCGTGAGATCCTGTAGGTGCATTCTTCTCAGATTGTACCTGCAGTCACTAACAAGTCCTGAGGGAAGGTGTGCCAGCTTGCAGTCACGGAGTCTAGAGTTGGCATGGCTATGACTTTGCTCTGCTCCTCCTCCCACTCCCACTCCCACTCCCACTCCTTCCATCCAGACAGCCCTATCAACTCCAATTCTCTCAGACATGGAAACGCGACACCTCCATCTCCCCTTGCTGCATCATGGGTCTGGAACTCATGCCCAACATACTCGATGGCCGGAGCATGCTCGATCAGTAGTTCTTCCAAACCAAGCATCCTGCACAAACCATCAGGTAGTGGTGTGCAGTGGGTTATGTGCACTAGGTAAATACGCTTCAAGCTCTTGAAGGTTGTTGCCTATAGGGACTGCAACCAATCTGGTAGTCGACGAACAAAATATCTTATTATTCTTAGCATCTCCAATCGAGGTGGAGGGCACAGCTCATCAAATACAACCTCTATTCTCTCTTGTTGCTCTAGACCGATTTGGCGCACTTTATCTTCCTCCTCTTTCTTATCCTTGTAGCAATTTAACTACAAATATTCTAGATTCTTCTTATTGCTAATCTTGGCCCTTTTACCAACTAAACTACGAGGCACATTTTCTAGACATTGGACTGAAATATTTCTAAGATGTCAAAGAGCCTCCAACTCTTCTAAACTGCACTAGTCCCCATCCATCTTTACTGGAAACTCACCAAGGGATCTTAGATCTGTTAAACCACCAAACCCTCTTGGTACAACATTGACATTTGACCCAACTATGTTAAGATATCTTAAACACGCTAGTTTTGTGATGTTGTCAGGAAGCCTTTTCCAACTTTGTACAACCCTTGAGCTGAATGTGCTCAAGCAACCTCATCTTATCGATGTCACCTGGAAGCATAGATATGTCTGTATAGGAGAATGACAAGTATGTTAGGTGTCTTAGCTCCCCCAAAGAGTCCACTAACCAATCTGATTCCTTGGAGCTTATATCCAATACCCGTAGATTAGCAAAATTTGCCAATGAACCACCAGGTTGAATCTCACAACCTATTAGTAATAATGTCCTCAATCTTTTTTGCTTCTCTAGGATGGTCCACTCTAAATCTGAATGAGTCGCGTTTACTGAGAGATGGCAAAAATATTTGTTTTCCGAAAGAAGATTTGTAATGTCAACTTGATCCTTGTGAACCATGAAAGCTTCTTCTTTAGACATAAATTGAGCAAGCGAGCAGACAACATCATGCAAGGTGTACTCCCATATGCTCTCAGCTGAATCGTCAGGCTCCAAAAGATTCCTATCTACCAACTCCCGGTGATACTCAGCCCCTATTTCTTCAAGATCAAATTCACCTGACTCTGACCTCCCATCATGTTGAACGAACCCTTCACTAATCCACATGCTAATGACTCTATCCTTCTCAAAACCTGAACCCTTTGGCAGAAGTGAGTAATAGAGAAAGCATTGCTTCAACTCTGGAGATAAATCATCGTAGCTCAAGCCTACTGAGTAACTTAGTTCCTCTCTTGATCTGTCTTCTTCATTCCATCCAAGATTCTTGTGCAAAACAATCTCCCAAACACGTTCCTTTGGATCTCTTTTGCTTAAGAGTCCACCCTTAACTTTAATAGCAAGTGGTAACCCGTCACATTTTTTTACAATCTTCATCCCGATATCTTTCAGCTCATCAAAATCACTTCTAACACCGATCTGCCAACAACACATGACAACTTAGGAATAGTAATATCCATACTTGGACTTGTACATCTTAGTATATACATGTGTTTGCATGACACAACTATATATTCAAATAGATAGTATTCTGATAGTAGGCAGCACTGACCCAAAAGATCATCAGAGAGTAGGTATTGATGTATGAACTGCAGTTTTGCTCCTAAAATTAGGAAAAAAATATCTTTTTGAATAGAAAATAAGAAAAATATCTTTGATCAGAACAGCATGTGTAGTACCTCTAAAGAAATAATGTTGCCTAGGAAATTTCAAAATTGTGCCGTGCCGTAATTACGAAAAATACAATAGATTTGTAGATAAAAATGGTGTTATACATAATCAGAATTAAAAAATCCAGAATTTACAAAATCTAGTGATATATAAATTCAAAACTAAGACTTGGAACATAGCTTTCCAATTTGGAAAATACAGAACTTTGCAAGAACTCAAATTTCTACTCGCCCTCCGTCCCGAAATAAGTGACTCAACTTTGTACTAACTTTAATACAAAGTTAGTACGAAGTTGAGTCAATTAATTTGGGACGAAGGGAGTACTAACTTAACATTTTCCTATATAAACTAAAATTTTAATATTAAAGATTTATATTTGATCTGACCAATTATGGATTCATATACTTACATATCAAATTCTCATTTTCTTGCTAAGGTAGGACTTTTATGTTCGTCCGTTACTAAAAAACACGGTTACTTGTAGCAACTAGCACATTGTATCGCATACCATACAACTTGCCATATGAAAATGGAACCATTAAAATTGCCGTGAATAATATTAGTACAATTTTCCATTAACCTATACGTATCAAAAGCAGCGGTCAAATAAATTGTAAAATATAATAAAATTGATATACAAATGTACACATATGATTGTCATACACCCAACCCCAAATGTGCAACATGTACTGCTAGATAAAGTTTGACTAACTTGATCTCCAAAATATTGTACTTGTTTGTAAAAAAGATGTGTTACTGACCTCTGGCTGTGGTAGCTGTTTCTTTAGCAAGCACCAAGCATCTTCATTGTTTTGTGTGTCGACACGCAGGATGGAAGCTCCCATGCTCCGAACAACATCAATGTTTCTTGAGGTAACCAAGACTCGGCTTCCTGGTTGTGTATCGGTGGCATTAAGAATGGGGGTGCGAAGCACGTTTTCCCATGCTCCTTGGTTCCACACATCATCCATGACTAACAGAAACCTTTTTTTTGATAGGGCGTCGGTGAGGTTCTGCACAAGTATGGTCGCATCCTTGTTCTCACTGTGCTCCCCCAGCTTGGCAGATGGCGGCCCTTAGCAGGCCCACCTTGGTAAACTGCTGAGTGATGCTCAGCCATATCTTGATTTTGAACTCCTCCTTGATGGATTCGCTTGCAAAGACCTTCTTGGTGAGGTTGCTCTTGCCTATGTCGCCCTGGCCAACTATGGCCACCACTCTAACGGTGCTGCTACCATGGTCATGGTGGCCATCGGTGATCAACTTATGCTCCAGTTCCTGTGTATTCTTTTGGATCTGTGTTAGGACCACGACTCAATGCCACACCGATCTAGCATGTAACACCTCATATCACTTTGTGGCCTCACGCACGGTATTCCCACGGGTGTCGCCTTACCAGGCCCGGGACCGTTTGCGCCTTTCGGCACACGTATATGATAGTGTCGCTAGCATCCATATGACAAGGAGCCCGGGCTGACATGGCTAGTCGTGAACCCAAAGTGGCACGAACTTACAGGCATAGGCATACATGACCCGACAACGAACGTGTCGGTCATCAGCAAGTGAATCCGGGCTGTAGCAACTGGGCTAGCAGGACTCCGGTAAACCGGGCTGTAGTAGGCTAACAGGACTCCGGTAGACACCGCGTGACATTTCCCCGAAGGGACAGACACAGGAACGAAGAAGGACACATGCCAACCAGCCTAAGTGTTTCGGAGCAGTAGCAAGCTACCAAGGCTCAGTGGAAGCACTAGGAAACATTTCCCGGTAAGAGGGGCCACCAAGGATAAACAACTAGATTGTCAGATCCCACACATACCAGGAACTTCAATAACATACACACAATATGCTCGATATGTGCAAATACAACATGGTATCACAACATGACTCTACAAGTCAAGTATTTTATTCAATAGGCTTCAAGGAGCAAGATATTACAAACATGGGTCTCATGACCCAACATTCAGAGCATACAAGTCAAAACACATGCGGAAGCTTAACATGTCTGAGTACAGACATCTACAAATGAAAAAGGCTGAGAAGCCTGACTATCTACCAGATCCTGCCGAGGGCACAAGATCGTAGCTGAGATAACAAGCTAAATGTCGAAGTCCACGCGGAACTACTAGTGAGACTGAAGTCTCTCTGCAAAAACATAAAATAGGCAAATGTGAGTACAAATGTACCCAGAAAGACTTACATCAGAACTAACTACATATGCATCATTATCAACAAGGGGTTGGTGGAGTTTAACAGCAGCAAGCCAACTTTGACCCGGTGGCTATCCTGAACTACGACTGCAAGTAACTCTTTTGAGGTGGCGCACACGAGTCCACATATTCACCATATCAATACACCACTATGGATCTGCTCCCGTCTCCCTACGAGAATACCATCCATAGCACTCACGCTTATCTTGCGTATTTTAGAGTATCCTCTTTCACTTGTCTATGAACTGTATAGGCAACCCACAAGTCCTTTGCCGTGGACACGGCTATTGGAATAGATGATGTTAACCCTGCAGGGGTGTAATTCTTCACACACACTCTCGCCACTTACCGCCATGTACACGTCATGTATCTCGGCAACCTTCAAGCAAAAACCTGGCGAGGGTGTCGTCCACGGCCTACCTAAACACTCAAGTCTCTAGTCCAGGTTTATCGCCTATTCAGGTTCCATCCACAGGGAGTCCGGCCGAAGTTTCCACATACGGCCTCGAACGATGTGTGCAGGGTTCCCGAGACACCAAACGGGCGCCCGGTACACCGTGCCACGTGCCTACTGCATCACAGCCCACCCCTCGGGTCAGCGCTGCGCACGGCCTCCAGCATACTACAAACACCAGAAAATATTTGCAACTCCTGGACAGAGGACGAGGGTGATTAAGAAGCCGAGAGGGTCAATTAAGGATCCCAATGAGTGGTAGTAGCTGTTCATGGATCACAAACACAGAACTCAGTTCCTGAGGACGGCTTCAATGAGGCAACCCACCATGTACTCCTACATGGCCTCGCACCTCTACCTTTACCAAATCGTGTTCACACACTTAGCTCACACACAGTAGGACATGTTTACACACCTCTGATTCATCCCCGATGAATCAGACCTGACTCAACTCTAAGCAGTAGCAGGCATGACAAACCAGCATGAATGAGTAGGCACATCAGGGCTCAAACAACTCCTACTCATTCTAGTGGGTTTCATCTATTTACTGTGCCAATGACAGGTCATGCAGAGGAAAAGGGGTTCAACTACCGCAGTAAAAGAGAGTAGGAGCGAGAGAGTGGGATTGTATCGGAATGAACAAGGGGGTTTTGCTTGCCTGGCACTTCTGAAGATAGTATAGTTCTTCATTGGTGTCATCGAACTCATCGTTGGAACCACGTCTATCGAGAGGGGAAAAACACCGACAAACAAGGAGGAACACAATCAATGCAATGCACAATATGATGCATGATCATGACATGGCAATATGCTGTGGTTTGAGCTAATGCAACTAGCAGCATGTTAAATGGAGTTGGTTTGAATCTAAGATTCAAATTCAAACTCCATACATGACATTTCAAATGCCATTAATTCAAATTGTTATATATAGTAGCTTTTCGTTGCTCAAACATGCATGAAAATGCCATAAACAGATTCTTTGGATTTTTCTGATAATTTTTCATATATAATTTGTTTCATTTGGAGTTACGGTTGATTTTATATGATTTTTAGAAGTTTTGGATATTTTCTGAAATAAATCAATCATTTTTTATTTATTTCAAATCTTAGAAAATATTTACTGCATCAGCATGACGTATTAGTGACGTCAGTAGGTCAACGGGCGACCCAGGTCAAACTGACCAGTGGGTCTCGAGTGTCAGTGTCTAACTAAACTAACCTAGCTTAGTTAATACTAACCTAACTTAATTAGCCGGGAGGGGCCCGCATGTTAATGACCCAGGGGAGTCAAACTGGGGTCAAACCCGGGTCAGCGGGGTCAAACCCACTGGCGACATGAGGCCGGCGAGGCCAGACGCGGCGGAGCAGCGCAGGTTTCACGCTCCGATGACCAAAGCGACGGCGGAGGCGTGCTACGTGAAGCTGGGAGTGCCCCGCATCTTTCTG